GGGGGGAGGGGAGCGTGAATAAAGCGGGTGTTAAAAGGAAGCAGACTGGGAAGGAGGGGAGGAAGAAGGGAAAAGTGGGGAGGAGGTGGAGGAGGGCAAAGAGTCCAGGAAGGGGTGACAGCATGGAGGACGAAGGCGGAGGAGGAGAACGATGACAACGAAGCCAGAGGTAAGGCGGTGAGGAGGAAGGTGGAAGAGGAAGGCGGGGAAAATGCGGGGAAAGGCGGCGGAAAGAGGCGGGGCAAAGAGGCGGGGGAAAATGTGCGGGAAAAGTCCGGGAAAGTCGAGGGGAAGATGCGGAGAAAGGGGGGAGAAGAGGGACAGAGGAGTAGAGAGGCATGACGGGGGGACAGCGTGGAGGACGAAGGCGGAGGAGGACGACGACAACAAAAGTTGGTGTAAGGCAGTGAGGAGGAAGGTGGAAGAGGAAGGCGGGGAAAAGGCGGGAAAAGGCGGCGGAAAAAGGCGGGGGAAAGAGGCAGGGGAAAATGTGGGGGAAAGAGGCGGGGGAAAGTCCGGGAAAGTCGGGGGGAAGAGGCGGCGCGCGCGCGCGCGCGCACGGGAGAGAGAGAGAGAGAGAGAAATGAGTTCAGGAAAGAACCAAAGATGAAGAGAAGTAAAGAAGGTTCAGCCAAGACCTTCAGAATGAGCAACTTGCTCAAGAAGTAATTGAGTGCTCCGGTTAATTGAGTGCTCTAGTTACATTAATCGAGTGATTGGTTGTCATAGACCAGTGGGGATTTTTCTGTTTTCCTTTTTCTTGTTCCTGTTTTTTGCCTTTTGGTTTCTTGTTTTCCTATTTTCTGTTCTCTGTTTTTTTAACTTCTGGTTTTCTGCTTCTCTGCTGTTTTTGCTTAGATAGGGAATAGTAAAAAAGGTACAGGTAGATTGACTCGGGGTCGTTCTGTTTCGCCGGAGTTTCACCGACTCATCAGGTGGCAGAATCCCCTAACTGATTACACTGAAAGTGATAATCCACCTTAACCCCGGGTGTGGTTATTTAAAAAAAAAGAAAACACAGTCAATAAAGAACGGTCATTTGAAAATAAATCGTACGGTCATTTGAAAATAACAAACATCGTACGGTCATTTGATAATAACAAACATCGTACAGTCTTTAAAAAAAAAAAGAAAACGCCGTACGGTCATGCCATTGCTTTCCTTACTCGGAGCCACCAAGAAGTGGGCACCGTAAGGTCATTAAAAGAAAAAAACGAACATCATACGGTCATTTGAAAAAAGAAAAAGACATCGTACGGTGACTACGGTCATTAAAAAATAAAAAAAGGCACCATACGGTCATTTAAAGAAAGAAAATACACCGGAGCACCGTAAGCTCATTACAAAAAGAAAAATCGTACGGTCATTTGAAAAAAATAAAAAACATTGTACGGTCATCTAAACAAAAATAAAAAACTCCGTACGGTCATGCCATTGCTTTCGTTACTCGGAACCACCAAGAACAGGGCACCAAAAGGTCGTTAAAAAAAAAAAAAAAGACATCTCACGGTCATTTAAAAAAAAAAAAGAGCATCGTACGGTGACTACAACCATTAAAAAAAAGAAAAACCGTACGGTCATTTAAGAAAAGAAAACACACCCGAGCACCGTAAGGTCATTAGAAAAGAATAAACAAAATCGTACGATTATTTGAAAAAAAAAACAACCATCGTACGGTCATTAAAAAAAAACACCGTCGTACGGTCATGCCATTGCTTTCCTTACTCGGAACCACCAAGAACTGGTCACAATAAGGTCATTAAAAAAAAAAAAAAAGGCCGGGGGAAAAGGCGGGGAGAGTGGTGGGAAGGCGGAGGAAGGGAGCGGAAAGGTGGCGGGGGAAGGG